TTACTAAATCAATATACAATTAAGACAATAAAGAGACCAAAATGTGTTAATTTATGTTGCCTAACAAAACCTATACAACAGAAAACGTTTGTCTTAACACATAGATTTGTACAGAAGAGGATTAGGGCCACTGAAAAAAAAAAAAGTTAACTGATTTTTAAATTTTATTTCAGTTTAACATGGGAAAAATGTCAGAATTCTGACTTTTTTATTGTCAGAATTCTGAGATTAAAGTCAGAATACTGAGCAAAAAGTCAGAATTCTCAGCAAAAACTCAGAATTATGAGAAAAAAGTTAGAATTATGAGATTAAAGTCAGCATTCTGACTTTTTTCCCATACTAAACTGAAATAAAATTTAAAAATCAGTTAACTTATTATTTTTTTTCAGTGGCCCTAATCCTCTTCCGTAGATTTGCAATTGCAAACTCTACCAAAATTATTTGTAGCCTATGTGGTCGTCCTCACATTATCTGTCATTGACTTGGGCTACAGTGTAAAACTTTCAGAATCAGAATCAGGTTTATTGCCATTGTTAGTGAAGGAGTTCACAAACTAGGAATTTTTTATGGTACAATCGTGCAACATGAAACATATAATATGGAATAGGTAAATAAAATTATAAAAATATCTAAAAACTGTGGGTATACGTCATGCAATAAAATAGACTAATGTATACACTTAAGATAAAAAAATATGGATACAAAATATAAAAAGTAAAATAGCATCTTACAAGGAGACAACTAGTTTATCTGGTGACCAGTCGGCAAAATGCTTGTTTGGTGCTGCTGAATGAGACATTTTAATGCACAACAAAATGATTCTGCTTGATCTGTATATTACCTGGCTAATGGGGCACGGGAGAAGCAGCCTGTCAGCGACCGTTCCTGCTATCTGAAAACTGCTATGATGCTGCGCATCTGGCATGCCCTGTGGGCGACCGAGTGAGTTCACGTGACAAAGGAAGAGAGAGAGGCTGGTCGTTTGTGCGCAAGTAGGTCGGTCATTTCGGGGCATTGTTTCAGTCGTTTTTAATGGCTCAGGTTTTCAAAAGATCATTTCAAAACCGACCTCAGTAAAATCTTATTAATTTTAATAATAATAATAAAAAAAAAAAAACGAGTTTCAAAAGGGCATTTTCTTTGATAGAGGGCAAACTTCCTAGTGCTTTAGCACCACCTAGTGTCTATGTGTGCACGCCCCTGTCGCTGGTTGCGGTCCGCTCGGAAGAGAAGCCGGCCGGCAAGATGGAAGGCTGAGTCCGGCATGTTATTGTTTAGCCAGGTTTCCGTGAGACAGATCACCGCACAGTTCCTCATCTCCTCAGAAACACTCATCCTCAGCCGCAGAAGGTCCAGCTTGTTGTCCAGAGAGCGGACATTAGACAGGAAAACAGATGGAATCGGGGGTCTGTTAGCATTAGCCTTTAGCCTGGCCAGCAGTCCCCCGCACTTCCCCCTCTTCTACCTCGGCTCGCACCTCCTCCTCCGGCTCTTTGTTTGGGGAGATCTGCTCCCCTACGCCGGTGTCCTGAGGAGCCGTAGTTTGCAGAGAGCAGTTTGGAGATTGTTGTCAATACGAGTAGATCTTGTGGCCAAACTGTCCTTTATCAGAAAAAGTTCAGTTCTGCTATAACTCACACGCTTGAGGTGCGTGAAGTTAATTGGATTTTCGCTGAGGGCGTGAGAAGTCGCTGCACTACTGCGCGCCGCCATGAGACGATGTATATATGTATATATATATATATATATATATATTTTTTTTTTTTTTTTTTTTTTTTTTTTTCCCTATTTATATAGTTATTAGACTATTATGATGATGATACCCAGCTGTATTTGTCTATAAATCCAGATGAAGTTAACCTTTATATAAATTACAGGCATGTCTTGAAGAGAAAAAAACCTGGATGACTCTTAACTTTCTGCTACTGAATAAAGACAAAACAGAAGTTATAATCTTTGAACCAGAGTCTTTGAAAAAGAAACTGATTAATCAGTCACTTCATTTGAATGAGATTAAATTGATCTCAGATAATGAAGTAAAAAATGTTGGTGTTATTTTTGATCAGCAACTGTCATTTAAATCCCATATCAAAGACATTTCTGGAATTTACTTCTTTCATCTATTACAATTCTTTAATATCAAGTAGCAAGTCAACAAATTGTAGTTAAAAGCCTTCAGCTGATCCAAAATGCTGCAGCGAGAGTTCTGATGAAAATTAAGAAGAGAAATCATATGTCTCCTATCCTGGCTTCTCTTCATTGGCTTCCTGTTGAACCAGAATAGAATTTAAAATCCTCTTTCTCACATATAAAGGCTTAAATGGCCAAGCTTGGTCTGATATCAGAGATCTGATTGTTCCTAATTTTCCTAATAGAGCACTTCTCTCTTAAGCTGCAGGTTTACCAGTGGTTCCTATAATTTTTAAAAGAAGAATGAGAGGCAGATCTTTAACTTATCAGTCTCCTTACCTTTGGAACCAACTACCAGTTTTAGTCCGTGAGGCAGACACCCTGTCTACTGTTAAGGCTAGGCTTAAAACTTTCCTTTTTGATAAAGCTTATAGTTAGAGTGGCTCAGGTTATCCTGAGCTATCTATATAGTTATGGTACTATAGGCTTAGACTGCTGGAGGACCTAGGGACCCCTTTTTTTATCCTATCTCTATTCTCCCATTCTGCAGCATTTGTTAGTTAACTCTCAAATGTTTTGGTCTCTCTGCTTTTTTTCATAGTATCTACATCTAGTCTGGTCATGTTTGGATGTGAAAAAATCCTGGAGAGAAATATCAGCTTTGCTGCTGCCATCAACACCTATGTTGACAGATGATGGAGCTTGGCCTCTCTTTCACTGTAGTCTTGTTTCACTTGTTAAAAGTTTTTTTCTCCAATGTCGCTACAATCATGCTTGATGTGAGTGAGTCGACGCAATCGACTGGATTTCCTTAGAAAACTTTGGATCAATTCGACTTGATGATCTAGTTGAATTGTAAAGTGCATTGAGATGACATGTTGTGAATTGGTGCGATGTAAATAAAGAGAATTGAAGTGAATTTCCAACAGTTCTTTATATTCGATGGCTCACTAATTTAAATTGCAAGATATTTCACCAATGAATAACAATAATGTGTCATTTATTATTTTCTTCTGTATTTTTTGAAATATTGATTCTCCATACTGCATTAACAGTATGCAGTAATACACACTGTAATACATTCTTTAATACACTCTATTGTATCACAATAGCAACCATTTAGACCATAAGGCTTTATACTGAAAAATAAATAAATTTAAAAAAAGCCTCTTCCTTCTTTCAGGGCCGAACACTTTAAAAATAATTAGTCTCTCATCAACCATCAGCCTGAGACCAGAAATATTTCATGGGTGCTGCACACCTGCCCATTGCTCTATGAGAAGCTGGTTAGAAAATGGGGGGACACATTTTTTGTGATTAGGTAATAAATATTATAACAGTTAGCAAGGGGGAAATTTATTTAGTTACTGGAGAAACAGGGAGTTGGTTTACTATATTAGAGTAAAACAAGAACTTCAATGTGCAAAGTTAACAAATTTGGATTATATTTATGCTGGGCTCCAAAAAACCCAGTTTTCCTCTATAGTAAGCTGGATAGAACAAGCAAGCTAATGTAATAATCAACTGTTTTTAAAAGTAACTAAAAGTAACCGTATTGATAAACAGGACATTGTGTCACAGTCTTGGTTTTCCATTTGTTGTCCTCTGCTGCCCTCTTGTGTCCTCTTTCCCTAGCTCTGTTTTCTGCTCTTTCCTCACCTGTTTTCAATCCTCTCGTTAGCCCTCTCTTTGTCTCTGTCCCCTTTAAAAGCCTCCCTCTTCAGTTCCTGTTTGCTGGATCCTCGTCTAACGTCTGTCTGCTTACCTCGTCTCTCCCTGAGTTTGGTTTTCCCCTAATGTCTCCTTGGTTGTGGTTCGTTTGTTATTTCTGTTGGATTTTTTGATTCCTGCCTCAGTTCCTGTGAACCTCATTAAACCCACCTAAATTCACCTCTGCCTATTTGCCTCTGCATTTGGGTCCTCGATCAAACACCAAATCCTGACACATTGTCTCTTGCCAAGAAATGATGATGTGACAATATTCTGGGACTTTAAACTTCAGCACACTGCGTCCCATTTCAAAGTGAAAAGCATGACCACATAGCAAAGGTTCATAAATAGTGGATTTTTATGTCTTCTTTCACCCGTCTCCTTATTCATTACTATTTGAATTTTATGAATGTTTTTTTTGCAGTTACGTCGCCATGGTAAATCCAATCGCTTATCAAAGTAATAGCTGCTGGGACCAAGCCGGACATTTTGATACATATATTGTGTTGGTGCGTCCTATGGTACGGGCCTTATTAAATTAGACGGAAGAAGAATAAACTTAATAAATAAATAAAGAGTCAGTTTTTCAGCAACAATAATAGGTTCCTCCATGCATTACTTGGGGCATAGAATCACATTACTTTGCAATGCTTCTGTGAGCTGCATATTTGACTGCTTCTTGCATTGCAATGGCAGACACCAATAATCCAATCATACTTCATGTAGAGTATTGGGAATTCCTTTGAGCTCACTTAGCTGAGGGCCTCTATTATAGTATGTCCATCATTATTCTCATCTAGGCATATCTCACTTCTGGCCCAACAGCAAGCACCTTGGAGGTTGTTTTTTTTTTTTTTAGAACATTTGGAAAACTGATTTTATGCTGTTCAGGTTCTTAGATTCAATAACCTAAACACACAACCAATTTACATCTTTACAAACAGGATTTAAATGGAAAGATATCAGGCTCAGAAGGAAATAATTCAAAATCAAACACATTTGCTGAATTAGTGTGTCATTAATGTCAGTGTGACAATCATGATTAAATTTGTTAGTGATGAATAAGTAACAGAAAATCTCCGGATTCACAATACACATTACATTTTATATAGAAGTTCAGCTCTATATCAGCACAGAAATATAAAACTGTCAGTACTTACAGAACTTTGTTTGAAGCTTTGACCACTGGCAGCAGCCTGAGAAGAGTCTCATCTGAAGCAGAGTATTTCTTCAGGTCAAACACATCCAGATCTTCTCCTGATGTCACTAAGATGAAGACCAGAGCTGACCACTGAGCAGGAGACAGTTTATCTGTGGAGAGACTTCCTGATCTCAGAGACTGTTGGATCTCCTGGACCAGAGAACGATCATTCAGTTCATTCAGACAGTGGAACAGGTTGATGCTTTTCTCTGCAGATAGATTCTCATTGATCTTCTCCTTGATGTGCTGAACTGTTTCCTGATTGGTCAGTGAGCTACTTCCTGTCTTTGTCATCAGACCTTGTAGGAGTCTCTGATTGGTCTGCAGTGAAAGACCCAGGAGGAAGCGGAGGAACAGGTCCAGATGTCCATTTGGACTCTGTAAGGCCTTGTCCACAGCACTGTGATGGAGGTATTTTAGATTTGGGTTGTTAAATATTAATTTAATTAATTTAGACCAAATAGAAATGTGTTGTTGTTCTTTCATTAGATTGACTCCATCCTTGATGAAGGTCAGATGGACATGAAGAGCAGCCAGAAACTCCTGAACACTCAGATGGACGAAGCAGAACACCTTTTCTTGGTTCTGGTACAGCCCTCTCTCCTCTTTAAAGATCTGTGTGAACACTCCTGAGTAAACTGAGGCTGCTCTGATATCGATGCCACACTCTGTCAGGTCTGATTCATAGAAGATCAGGTTTCCTTTCTGCAGCTGATCAAAAGCCAGTTTTCCCAGAGACTCGATCATCTTCCTGCTCTCTGGACTCCAGTGTGGATCCGTCTCAGCTCCTCCATCATACTTGATCTTCTTCACTTTGGTCTGAACCACCAGGAAGTGGATGTACATCTCTGTCAGGGTGTTGGGCAGCTCTCCTTCCTCTCTGGTCTCCAACACTCCCTCCAGAACCGTAGCAGTGATCCAGCAGAAGACTGGAACGTGGCACATTATCTGAATGCTTCTAGATCTATTGATGTGGGAGATGATCCTGCTGGCCTTCTCCTCATCTGTTAATCTCTTCTTGAAGTACTCCTCCTTCTGTGGGTCACTGAACCCTCTGACCTCTGTCACCATGCCAACACAGTCAGGAGGGATCTGATTGGCTGCTGCAGGTCGTGTCGTTATCCAGAGGAGAGCAGAGGGAAGCAGTTTCCCCCTGATGAGGTTTATCAGCAGAACATCCACTGAGGTGGACTCTGTAACATCAGTCAGGATCTCCTTGTTGTGGAAGTCCAGAGGAAGTCGACTCTCATCCAGACCATCAAAGATGAACAGAACCTGTAAGTCCTCAAAGCTGCTGATTCCTTTGGTTTCAGTGAAGAAGTGATGAACAAGTTCCACCAAGCTGAACTTTTTGTCTTTCAACACATTCAGCTCTCTGAAGGTGAATGGAAATATGAACTGGATGTTCTGGTGGGCTTTGCCTTCAGCCCAGTCCAGAGTGAACTTCTGTGTTAAGACTGTTTTCCCAATGCCAGCCACTCCCTTTGTCATCATTGTTCTGATTGGCTGATCTCCTCCAGGAGGAACTTTAAAGATGTCTTCTTGTCTGATTGTTGTTTCTGGTCTGTGTGGATTCCTGAATGCTGTTTCAATCTGTCTGACCTCATGTTCATCATTGATCCCCCCAGTCCCTCCTTCTGCGATGTAGAGCTCTGTGTAGATCTGGTTCAGAAGGGTTGGACTTCCTGCTTTAGCGATCCCCTCAAACACAGACTGGAACCTCTTCTTCAGACTGGATTTAAGGTTATGTTGACAAACTGAGGAAAAATGCTCTGAAATATGAAACAGTATAATTAGCACTAAAACTATTTCTACCAATAAATCATCTGTTCTCTCTTGTCTCATGATTGGAATAAATTTATTATTTATCCATCGAATTAAATTTTTATAGAAATCCTCTTACTGCTCTGCAGATCTTCAGCCAGCTCCTCCTGCTTCATCCTCCTCAGGAAGTTCAGGGTGATCTTCACCAAGGCCTCTCTGCTGCTCCTCTGCTCTTCATCCTCACATTCAAACACATCCTCATCCTCCCACTGACTCTTTAATTTATCTGGGTCATCTGAACTCAGAACCTTCTGGATTTTCTTCAGCTCCTTCTTCACAAATCTAACAAGGTTTTCCTCTAGCAGCTGAACAGACAAATGAATTAAGAACACATTAGACTGAGATCATTGAGCCAAATATCAGATCCATGTTAGACAGTCCTCTGGTCTACAAAGTGCAGCACTGAGATAACTGTGAACAGAACCCATGGGTAAGTAGTTGTAGTACATGTACAGACCATAAATATGGAGTCCAGTTGGGTTTGATGCTGCTGGGCAGATGGAACACCGGGAAGCTCTGAGTTCTGTTGATCGACTCTGTGGAGGAACCAGGAAGCATTAACTCTGACCCTCTCGTGTCCTGCTCGGAAACTATATGTCCTTTCCCTTTTCTCAGAAACAACTGCCCAAAGCAAAGAGGCTCCTACCTGATTAGAGTTTGAGTTTCTGATAATCAGAATAGCATTATGCAGAAGGGAATATTTTGAAATTAAATTCAATATGATTGGCATAAGATTTTGTTAGGTTTATTATTTTATACATCATGTGTATTGCTACTTTGTTAGCCAGATTAAAGACAAAGAAGGCCTTCCTTCACATTGTGGATGTCAATGTGTGTAAGGAAGTTATGTAAATAGGACAGCCTTCTTGTCTTTTAAAGATAAAAAGGATATGGGCACATCTTGGAGCCGGTCTGATAAAGGGAAGCTATCTGTAATTCTTGGGCATAGAGGCAAAATGCATACAGGTGAGGGTATGGATGGTGTGATAGTTTCTGATACGGAAAGCTAAACATCCACATGATGCAACACATAGACTCATGAGGTATAAGAAGCAGGAGATGACGTTGTTGGGGGCTCAATCTTTGCCGGACTCTTGCGGACATGAATTTGGGGCCCACAGCTGTGCAAGCTCCAAGTATTTTCTCTGTCCTGTAACGACCTGATCTGGAATAAACTCTGTTACTTTTTTACTCCTGTTTTTATAGTCCTTTTTATATGGTTTTACCCAGTTTGAGTTAAAAGTAGTAAATAACTTGCTCCCAGGAAAAGAACCGGAAGGGAAGTCCCAAGCTGCAACTGCCTTCAAGGGGACATAACTTCCTTATTTAACAACTTCATAAAAATAATTTAATTAGTAACGTCAAAGATAGAACATATATGGTAAAACACTAAAATCATGAACAGATATCAGTAATATTCTATTTTATTTAAAATGTTTCTAAAATCTTTCAGTTTCATTAAGCTGCACAGCTCCACCTCCTGTTGAAGTTTGTTAAATAAATATCTTCTTGAACTTTACTGAAGGGTCAGTCAATCTAATCCTAGTCTATTTTTGCTCTATTTGAGAGCAGCTGCTTTTTTCAATGACAAACAGGAAGCTGGAGACATTTATTAGGCCAATAACTGGTTAGTTCATGAAAATGCTGATTAGTCCTTGTTGCTATAAGCTTAGACTGCTGGAGGACATAGGGACCCCTTTTTCATTATTCTGCTTCCTTCTATCACTATTCTGCTGGTTTGCAGAATTTGTCATTTCAATCTGTAACTCCTCTCTCTGCTTTTTTTCATCATAGTAGCTTCCTATCAGCTGTGCTGCCATCTACACCTCTGTTTATAAATGTTTGGGCTCTGCCTATTTTTCAGTGTGTTCCTGTTTCTCTGACTGTAACTGGCTGGATGTGGTCTCTGTCCTCTGATGTGGGGGTTGGCTCCGAGCTTGTCTGCCTTGCTGTGCGTTTCCTGGACAGCCACCTTTGTAGCTGATTGACAAATTCCCTTTGTATCTCTGCTTATTTCTCCTTGATCCCCAGTCAGCCTCACCAGAGGGCCGCTCACACTGAGCCTGGTTGTGCTGGAGGTTTCTTCCTGTTAAAAGGGAGTTTTTCCTCTCTACTGTCACTACAAGCATGCTTGGTGCATCGACTCATTGCCTTCGAGTCAATGAGTTGATGCAACTGGTTTTCCTTAGATAGAAAACTTTGAATCTATTTGACTCTATGATATGAAACCTTGGTGTGAACCTTGGTGTGCCTTGAGGTAATGTGTGTTGTGAATTGGCACTATTTAAATAAACTGAATTACAAAATATTGATAAAGGCAAGTTAATCAGAAAGAAGAAAGTCCAGGTAAGATTAGAGGTTGACATCCTAAGATAAATCTGTTTGCTTCATGATAAACATGGTCCAAGATATGCAGAGAGCTAACAGGAGGAGTTATGGACAGAAATAACTTTGATGTTCAGGAATTTCTTTACTTTAAATGAAAAACAGTTTTAATATCTATGAAAAAATATCCCAGTTTTAATCTGAGACCTTAGATTCAGATCCAAGCAAAAATTAATACATTTTCAAAATAAACAACACTTAATTATTTCCACAGGTTAATTATTTTGTCTTGGCTCCATATCTTCACCACCGTTAAAAACTTGCCTTCAAAATTCGTACATTGCTATTTATTCACTATGTCAATTATAACGGATGGAGAATAACAAAAATCTCAAATTTAGGAAGAAAACAATACAACAGAGTCTGAACTGAGAACAACTTATTCTGTTTTTCATTATTTCTGTAAAATATTTCACCTCAATTATGACCTCTGTTGGACCAACAGGTGAAAACAGAGACTTAGAAACATCTCCAACAATGCTTAGCCTGAACTCATTGGAGACTGAATTAGTTAATTAGCAAAAACAAACAGTTTCATTAAAAGGAATGATAAATATCACATAAAAACATTCCGAATCCAATCAGTTTAGTTTTAGACAGTTAAACATTCAGACAGAGCTCACCTCTTTGCAGCTGAAGGTAGGTCTGATTTAAAATCGATAAGGTGACCCATTGACTTGTCACTCTTTAAGGAAATACAGCTGGGTTCTGGTTTGAGGTTCTGTTGGATCCTGAAGGAAAAACCCTGAATTCAATCTTAGTCTAATAATGCATTTAAAGGTAACCTGAATTATGACCCCTGCTGGACCAACAGGTGAAAACAGAGACTTAGAAACACCTCCAACAATGCTTACCCTGAACTCACCGGAGACTGAATTAGTGCAAAAACATCCAGCAAAAACAAAGTTTCATTAAAAGGAATGAAAAATATCACATAAAAACATTTCAAATCCAATCAGTTTAGTTTCAGACAGTTAAACATTTAGACAGAGCTCACCTCTTTGCAGCTGAAGGTAGGTCTGATTTAAAATTGATAAGGTGACCCATTGACTTGTCACTCTTTAAGGAAATACAGCTGGGTTCTGGTTTGAGGTTCTGTTGGATCCTGAAGGAAAAACCCTGAATTCAATCTTAGTCTAATAATGTATTTAAACTTAACCTCGGAGCTCGAGGAGAGCATTCGCTATATTATTATTAAATATAGGAGCAAAACATGCGGAAATTAATACTTTATTCAATATGACATTTAAAAATTCCCCATCAGCATCCAGCATATGTTGAGTTTTTGCCCAAATATTTTCTTTTTGTTGTAGATTTTTGTAACAGGGATAACTAGGATCATATAAAATTGGCTTGTATGAACTATGTTTGTTCTCTACTTCCAAACTCAGCATCTCTTCATCCATGAGATGCTGAGGAATGCCTGCGATAAGAAGTTTCTTTTGAAGTTGTCGGATGCAGAAGTTTTGACTGGATTTGATTAAACTTTTAAAATAAATATTTTGATTGAGATTTGAAATCTGTTTACTGGTCTGTTGAAGTACCAATAGTTTGCATCCAATAATCAAATTAAACGGTCTTAGTTTTTGGGAATATATTAGAATTATGCTCTAATTTTTAGTTACCGATCCATCATTACCATATTTTAATTTCACAAACTGAATCTTCTCAACATTCTTTTTCCTGTTTGATGCAATTGCAATTACAGATCTTGATCTGGCCAGATGGCAGCAAAAAATTACTCGGCTCTTTATTTTGAAGGTGACAGACGGAGAAAACGTATGTGGACTGTGACGTGCAGAGGAGTAGCGGTGGATGTGGAACAGTTCTCATTAAATAACATGACAGACAAGTACTCTGCACAATGTACGTGAGTGGGGCGGAGTGGAGCACTGATACAGTGTGGGAAATCTGGTGGTCTGAACTGCTGATGGAGAAACAAGTTCATTTATCTTCTTGTTGTTTGTTTAACTTGTTCTATTCTTAAACTGTTGATCCAACTGTAATGATCTTGGCATTGATATCTGGTCTGATTACTCATTTCAATCACTTGTGTTTCTGCGCCTAGTTCTCATTACCTCTCATCTGATCCACCTGCTTAAATCTCTACTTTAACCGCCTTCAGATCTGTCATTAGTGCTAGATTATTCGGGCCTGTAGTGAGACTTCACTAGCATACCTGTATTTTTGATTCTGATCCTGGACCTCTGAGCTTGCCTTAGTTTGGATGATTTAGTTTCCATCTAATAGTTGAATCAGCATCATGACATGACTACATGTGCATCACCTTAAGCTCTGCAGAAGCACCAACTCTGGTTCACTAATGTGACACAAGGTGATCCAGAAAGATTCAACTGGATGGAAGAACAACTAATTTTAGCTCCAATATCATCTTACAAGTTCATTTCATATCATCACAAAACAATCTTTTGATTATTTCCATTATTTAGCCTCCATCACTCACTGCTTCACATTTGAACACAGACATGTGAGAGAAAGAGTTGTGTTCACATTAATATGTTGGAATGAAGTTAGTTTAAACTAATTAGTGGAACATTTAGAAACAGCTCACCTGTTTGCTGATGAAGGTTGATCTGATTTAAAATTAATGATGACATCCTTTGAATGGTTGCCCTTTAAAGACACACAGCTGGGTTCTGGTCCAGGTTCTGTTTGTTTCCTGTGAATAAATATAAATTGTTGATGTTCATGCTGAGCTCTGACATGGAGAAGAGTCCTGGACAGTTAGAGATGGCGATCTGACCTCTGAGCTTTGCTCTGGTCCTCATGTTCTCCACACAGAGTGGTTGTAGAGGGAGGGACTCTGTCCTCTCTGTCCTCAACCTGATCCATGCTGCTCACTTCACATCAGCTCACAGACCTGGAGCTGCAGCTAAGAAAACACAGGATGAAGATACATTTACATTCAGTGATTCATGCCTGCAGGATACAGTCGCTGTTTTCAATTCAATTCAGATAATATATAGTATATTCCAAACACATGTAACCACAAGGCAGTTTACAGAGACAATTCAATCAGATCTCTCTCTATTACAGAAATAAAGTTGTGATACTAAACTATAACTAAGATTAGAAACAAGGAGAAGAGGTTACTGGATGCTTGAAATGAAGAGATTGGTAAAATGATTAACGTGTTTGCAGTTTGATTAAGAGTAAAGTGAAGGACCAGAGTGCGAAATACGGGGGAGGTCCGGAGGGGGTTCGACCCTCCCGATTAACCCATGAGCCCCCCTGAAAGCCTCAGAAGCAAAATTTAAGGGGGGTCTTAAATTGTGTCAAAAAAATTTTAATAAAATGTTCTGGCTCCTTAGGGAGCCATTGCTCATATTTGCATATTGTTTCTAAGTTATATACTATAAGCTTTCTTATGTATAATCTTTGATATAGTCTTATTTTGAAAGCACCGGAAGTTGAGCAGTTGGTGTCTTCCTGTTTAATGAGTAAACGCTGCATAGCTAAATCTGTTCTCTATGTGCTGCGTTTTTGGCCAGTACAGCATGTAATTTGATGTGTATTTCGTTTATTTACATATAGTACTGTTTCATGTTGTGTTTGGAGGTTTATTGCAAGAAAGGTCACCGAGAAGAGAAGTTTAAAAAGACGCTAGCATACGCGCTAACTAGCCATTAGCATACGCGCTAACTAACCGTTAGCGATACCGCTAGCTAGCAGCTAAATGTTAACATGTTGTTTGTGTCATTATGTGTTTCTGTACATATTCAGGGAATATGTTGAGTTTATTATTTGGGAGAATTGTGCCTGTTTATTTGGAATTGTGCCTGTTTACACAAAGACTTATGCACATTATTTCTTTGTTGCAGTTTTACCATTCAGTCATCCATTCATACCAGCCAATAAATCCAAAGAAAAGGCTTACAGTGTGGTTATTGGAAATTATGGTAATCTACCTGTTAAGCTAAGAGTGAGGGCAGGACATAAATTATTTTTTTGTCGCTAATGGTCACTAAAATGTTCTTAAGCTCAACATGTCCAGTATTAAAATTCAAAACCTTTATTCACAAACATGCTGTTTTTTGCGAAGTGGAGCCAGCCAATCCTGTTCGCGTATGCAAATTAGCCATGTGCTTTTCCGCAGCACAGGGGCAATGCGGAACAGATTGCGTGAAGACAGCAGGTCTTCACTCCTGTTTATGGACCATAACAGACCTCCTCTGGACAAATTGGACCCATTTCCATTCGTCAGAAACTGAATTAAAGCAGGACATGTGCGTGCATGAAAGAGAGAGACGGACAGACAGACAGTCTTTGTGCCTGTGTGTGTTTTCATAGACTGACTGTCTATTCAGGCTCTTGCCCACTCAGATTCACAAAAAACTTCATCCATCAAGCTGTCAGGAAGCTGACCCCCCCCTAAAAAAAAAAAATCACTCCGGACAAACTGTCTCCTGCACTACTATTATTACTATATTTCTTTTGCACTGTTACTGTTACAAATGTATATCTTACATAATTGGTAATAATAATAATATTTTTTCTGCTGCCATTACCATCTGCCTTTTTTCACTAGCATAAGTATTGCATATTTTATATTATTGTACATTTTATATTTTATAGTGAATTGAATGTTTAAATTTTAGTATTAGGAACTGATCTTATCTGTTGTGCCTGTGCACTTTATCGGTTTCACTGTTGGTGAATGAGAAATGAACGTCCTCTCTAGTCCTTGTGTGTCTGGTGAATCTGAAGAATTGACATTAAAGCTGACTTTGACTTTGAAATGTTATAGGCCTACTGCATATTGAGAAAATTTAGATTGGTATTGCGCAACAATCGCGAGATGGGGACCCCCCCAAATATTGACAGGTATTTCGCACACTGCGAAGGACCTTTAGAATAACTGTATAAATGAAGATATTATCCAGTCAAACTTCTTCCTGCGGAACATCTAAGCCTGCTGTCTAGATGTTCTGAGCCTTAAAACTATACAGGTGGATTATATGTTCAATTAAAGCTTGAAACAGTTTTTTAAATAAAAAAAAAACAAAAAAAACAATATAACAACCATCCATTTGTTTTCCGTCACGCTTATCCCTGCTGGGGTTGCGAGGGGTACTGGTGATCAATAGTGAGAGGTGGGGTACATCCTGGGCAGGTCGCCAGGGCAACACAGAGACAAGCAGGACAACCATTCACTCTCACACCTAAGGATTATAGCAGACATCCCAAGTCTCCTGGAAGGTCCGGGAGACTCCCTGATATCGATAGTTGTTCACCAATGTCCGCGAGTCAGATAAAAATCCACTCCCGTCTGAGACGGGAGTGGATTTTCACTCCTGTCCCGTCCCACTCCCACGGAAAAAAATTGTGTCCCGTCCAGATCCTGGTGTTATGCCCAAAAGTGCATGCCTGCCGAAATATGCATCCCCAGTCGCGGGAGCGCGCCTCGCTCTGTTGAACTGCATATCGACGAGGAAAACGGATTAAAATATGTTCAATGGAGCTTAGGTTCTTCTATTAATGATATAAAAACGTTTAAAAATACCTCTTGTGGGAAAAAAAGTTGTGGTTATTTGGCAGATTCATTTACAAAAGTACGGATTTTTTGAACAACATTAAATCCAAAGATTTTGACCATGGTACGGCTGATTTATTTGTTGTGGTCTCTTGCTATTTACACACAACACTAAACCGTGATAGCCGACGTGAGTTTTGAGTTTGCAAAGCTTTCTCTAAAGTGGAAAATCAAACGCGCATCTACACAGCACAGCGTTCACAGACCAGTGAGATGTGTTCGCTGCGCGTCAGAAAGCTATGGTGCATTCAGGAGCATTGGAACATTTTAAACTTACAAGAATGAGGCATAAAACAGAACTGTATTTTACTGAACTGTATTGTATTTTTTGTTTGTTTGTTTGTTTATGCACATCTGCTAGCTTTTTATTCTAAAAAATCTATAATATTACAGCAGCAATTTATCAAAGTTTTTCAAAATCCTGTTTAAAAGCTCCAAATGGGGCTTCAGATCATATGAAGCGACAATTGCACTGTCATTGTTTTACAGGGCAGAATTTGCATTTGCTGATCCTTGTACTTACTTACTGACGAATAATCAGGAATACAGACGTACAAGTGTCAACTCCTCTGAGATAGCAGGGGATGCAGTTTTTGGCAAGGACCTGCCACAAAATGCATCCCCCTTGTTTTTAACCTAAGAATTGTCCTACACACATGAAATTCATACTGGTACCTCAGCACACACGTGGAAGCATGTAGTAATTGTTACATCAGCTACAAGTCTATATTTCTGTAAAAAAGCAGGGGATGATTTATCAATATCGTAGTTACAGGTTAAGAAAAAGCTCAAACCACCCAGTGTTGACAACAAGTGACATGGTATGACGTTCCAAATAGAGCTAGGGTTTTTAAAGAAGTGTTTCAGCCAGTTTATTTTGTAAAGCAAGAAGGCAGTACAATAATTTGAGCATCATGTGTGGATTAGAACTACTGCGATCTGTATCTGTCCACGCTCTGTTTAACAAGCGTTGTAGGGGACTGGTTGTCAGAGAGCGCGCTGATTGGATTAGTTTGAAAAATAAGGGGGTTCAAAAGTTTGGGGTCACCCAAAACAATTTTGTGTTTTCCTGAAAAGTCACACTTATTCACCACCATACCTTGTGAAATGAATAGAAAGTAGTCAAGACAAGATTAGAAATAATGATTTGTATTTGAAATAAGAGTTTTTTACATCAAACTTTGCTTTCTCCAAAGAATCCTCCATATGCAGCAATTCCAGCATTGCAGACCTTTGGCATTCTAACTGTTAATTTGTTTAGGTAATCTGGAGAAATTGCGCCCCAAGCTTCCAGAAGCAGCTCCCACAGTTGGATTGGTTGGATGGGCACTTCTTGCGTAACATACGGTCAAGCTGCTCCCAAAACAGCTCAATGGGGTTCGGATCTGGTGACTGCGCTGGCCACTCCATTACCGATAGAATACCAGCTGCCTGCTTCTGCTCTAAATGGTTCTTACACAATTTGGAGGTGTGTTTAGGGTCATTGTCCTGTTGTAGGCTGAAATTGGCTCCAATCAAGCGCTGTCCACTGGGTATGGCATGGCGTTGCAAAATGGAGTGATAGCCTTCCTTATTCAGAATCCCTTTTACCCTGTACAAATCTCCCACCTTACCAGCAACAAAGCAAACCCAGACCATCACATTACCTCCACCATGCTTAACAGATGGTGTCAGGCATTCTTCCAGCATCTTTTCATTTGTTCTGCGTCTCACAAACGTTCTTCTTTGTGATCCAAACACCTCAAACTTGGATTCATCCGTCCACAACACTTTTTTCCAGTCTTCCTCTGTCCAATGTCTGTGTTCTTTTGCCCATCTTAATCTTTTTCTTTTATTGGCCAGTCTCAGATATGGCTTTTTCTTTGCCACTCTGCCCTGAAGCCCAGAATCCTGCAGCCACCTCTTCACTGTAGATGTTGATACTGGTGTTTTGCGGGTACTATGTAATGAAGATGCCAGTTGGGGACCTGTGAGGCGTCTGTTTTTTCAAACTAGAGACTCTAATGTACTTATCTTCTTGCACACTTGTGCAACGCGGCCTCCCACTTCTTTTTCTACTCTGGTTAGAGCCTCTTTGTGCTGTCCTCTGAAGGGAGCAGTACACACCGTTGTAGGAAATCTTTAATTTCTTAGCAATTTCTCGCATGGCATAGCCTTCATTTCTAAGAACAAGAATAGACTGTCAAGTTTCAGATGAAAGTTCTCTTTTTCTGGGCATTTTGAGCGTTTAATTGACTCCACAAATGTGATGCTCCAGAAACTCAATCTGCTCAAAGGAAGGTCAGTTTTGTAGCTTCTGTAACGAGCTAAACTGTTTTCAGATGTGTGAACAT